ACCTCAAGTGACATCTGAGACAGACACCAGGTATTTTGATGAAGAATTTACAGCTCAGACTATTACAATAACGCCACCTGAAAAATGTAAGTCAGAAATGATGGTTAAGCATGACTTAACAATGTTTATGATAAAGCACTGTGTAAGGATTTTTCTATTTGAATGGAAAAGCTGTTCTCACTGTTACTAATAAAAATCTTCATATGGAAGTGTGTAAGAGTAACTCTCGATGACAGTTTCCTTTTTAAGAAGGAGCAATCACAAAACGTAGAATACTAGATCACTCCGGGTTGAGTTTTGAGAGCATTTTTGGTATGGACTTTTCTGTTTTGATTTTGTTTAGGGTTTTCATTTGTTTGCTTCTTGGGGATTTTTTATTTTTAAATAAGGGAAGACACTAGCTTCAAGTGTTTACCGGTTGGGAGTCAAGGTCTCACTTCAGCAAAGTACTTTGAACATGGACCCTGCTTTAAAAGCATGTGGGCACTGGTAGTGGCTGTCTAGCTTTAGTGAGATAGGCATATTTTAAAATACTTTGAAGACCAAAAGAAAAAAGAAAAAGATCTGCCAGAGACAAGTAGATGTCTCTTTGTGTAGATACCAGTTACTTGAAAATGAAACTTCATATGAAGTCCTGTGCTTCAGCAGAGCTCTTAGAGAAGCTGTTAATAGGGATGTAACCACTGCACTGGGCCTTGCACAGAGTTTCTTTGTTGCAGTGCATGTAATTTCTCCACAGTTTGTATTTTTGTCGTCTTCTGTGAGATGCACAAGAATTATGATCTGATCAGCCAAGGGCTTAACAGAGTTATTTACCAAGCCAGAGCAGTTAAAATCTTGCTTCTGAGTTCGTGAATGAATTTTTTTTTTTTTTCCCTAAATGGGATATTTGTGGATTTTGGTTTATTTTAAATTGGAGGCTGAGAAAGGAGGATCACAAAAGTAGACAATAAAGGCTGTAGTTGTTCTTGCTTACCCTTTCATAAAGCTAGCCCATTTTCTGGTGTTTTAGGATTCCCAGGTTAGCTGCAGTTTTCTGTTTGTATATGGATCTAGTGTATTTTCTGGATTTTGCATTTTTAGTTTTTGAACACAGTTATGGAAGTGTAGAAAGGTTTGGGTTGGAAGGGACCTTAAAGATCATCTAGTTCCAAGCCCATTGCCATGGGCAGAGACACCTTCCACTAGACCAGGTTGCTCAAAGTCCATAATTTAAGTGATTTTAAGTCTTTCTGCTGGGAAGAGAACCCTTTCTTCTCCCATCTGCCTTGATAAAAATTTCTTCATATTTGTAAGTTGAACAAATTTTACTAAAATTTGGATTAACTTGGAGTGTGTTGATTTGGTAACATGAAGTCCTGATCTCTTGAAACCCCACCTATGCAATGAGAATGGCTATTGGTTCATCAAAGGGTGAAGCAATACAAAACATGTGTATGCCTCCAAGCCTTCAGCTTTAAAGTTACTGAATTCAGGGCAGGTGACCGAGTCCTAAGAATAATGAAGGGCAGGGTGATGACCAGCAGCAGTGCAGAGATCAGCTGCTGAATTGCTGGCATGGGAAGCCCTTCCAGGGAGCTGGCAGGGCTGCCTCACGAGCCTGCGGTGAGCAGCATTGCCAGCAGCACAGGGTGTATTTTCTCCTGTGCCAGGTAGATTTACTGCCATTTTTAGTGAACTGCAGTGGTTCAAGGACCACATGGTTTTTTTTCCCCTTTGCTGTTGTTGTGGTTGGGACATTATTTTTAATTTTTTTTTCTTTTAAAATCTACAAGTAATTGTATTATTTACAATATGGTATCACCTCTGTCTGATGTGATTACGCAAAAGGGGGTAAAATGAGTTTTAGGGAAGGAAGGTGAGTAACTGTGTATCAGAGAGCTACTGCTGAAATAAAGATATTTTCTAGATATTTATTTTAATTGAAACTCTATTTTGTATCTACAGTAATCAGTCTGATAGCAAAACAAACAGGCTGCGTACATTAACCTGCTTTAAACTGATATTGTAAAAGCAAGCTTGTATTTGAAGTTCCAGAACTGAAAGGCATTGTTGAAGTCAAGTATCCTAATCATAGCAACTGCTCGAACCTGCATTAACTGTAGTTTTTATGTGTAGAATATATGAAGATACAAAAGACACATAATTCTGAAAGGTTGCATATAAATACGTCATTAGAATAACAGTCTCAGTAGGAGTCTTTAAGAACAAGCACTGTTAAAAAATCCATGTGAGAATGTAAGTCTAAATTCTCCAAGTTAGGTAACATCTGGTGCCTGGTTTCCATTGGCACTGCAGGAATTATGTAAATAAAAATATTTATGAATTTGGCTTAGTCCATGTTTCTTCTGATCCCAGTAAATACTGTAAAAATAATTAGTTTACTAAAAAATAATACCTAAGAATTGAAACACATAGAACCTATGTGAATTGTTCATTTTGTAGCTGTTTTTTCTTTTACTCCCTTTGAAATGGAGGAATATTTAAATATATCTGCAGTGAGATTATAATTTCCTGAGCTCGGCTCAAGGAAAGAGGGAAACTCTCTGCCCCAGTCAGCAGTCAGCTTCTGTGCTGCCAGAGGCTCAGTGTGCTGGCATGTTTTGACTAGCCTAGAACAGGTAGTAGTGATTGAATTTCTCAGGTGATAGCCATAATAAAACCAGACAACAAATCAACCTACCCTGAAGTAAATACTGACTTTTGGAAATGATATGCTCCCTTCAGTGAACATCGTCCTGCTGTATGAGCATAAGCTTACATACGTGACCAAAGTCTTACTTTAACTAGAGTCTTCAACTTCAGCACTGAACCCTGAAAGGTATACTGCATATCAGGTGAATAATAAAATTTTGTTGCAAATATAATGATGTTTTGAACTTCTCCCTTAACACAGATGACGAGGATGGTATGGACTGCATGGACAATGAGAGGCGGCCGCATTTCCCCCAGTTTTCCTACTCTGCAAGTGGACGAGAATAACTTTTTTGTTCTGCTGCTTCACTGTCATCTTAGGTTTATCACTGAAAATGATTCCTGAACATCACCACCAGTACTAGATACTATTATGATAGCAGGGGCACTTTCAGAGACCATTCCAAATTGAACAAGTTTCTTTTCCAAACCTACCTAAAATCCATTTTGGTTTTGCATGACGTATGAGATTTTTCTCTACTACGCTCTCCTGCTGTTGCTGCTGCCCACAGTCTCAGTATAATAGCAACGCCAAGAAGTTACTAACAGTTTCTTTGAAGGTAGATGACTTGACTTCAGCATTGTAAACTTTGTGAACAAGTAGTCATCTATTTTTCCTCACAGTGGAGGCTAAACAAAAACTGTGTTGGTCCAGCTTATCTTCTTCCAGAAGACGAATCAAAATTGTAATTAGTCGAAACAGACTAGGCTATAAAATTTTCTTGCATCTGTTTGTGCTGGTTAGAATGAGGAAACATAGGGGTGGTGATGTACATATGCAAGGTTTCTGTTAGGCATATCATTACTTGAAGCAGGTCTCTGTCATTAACATCTGGCTGGAATTTGTTTGGGAAATGTTTGAAAGAAGGACTTAAACTGTTGATATATATAAATATATATATATTATTTTTTAATTACTGTTGGATACTACAGAAGAAGCAGAAGGGCTGGGCTCGCCCAGCCTGCCACTTAGAACTTCCAGGTTCATGTGCAATCATGGAGAATCGAACATTATACATGCAAGAAATGAAGGCATAAAAGCAGCATTTGAAGTTGTTCAAGGGGTCTTATAATTTGCACCAGATAACATCTTTCTCATGCTTTTCTCTTTCATGATATGCATCACCTCTGATGGCTGAAGAATGTAGACAGGCATAATGGTATTGCTTTTCACCAAAATGTGTGCACCAAGGTAAACAGGTGTTTGCCTTACTTGTTTTTATTTTGAGTTTGTGAATTAGCTTTTTCTCCAGGTGTTTAACTCTGAATATCCTTTTTTTCTTTTCTTTTCTTTCCTTTTTTTTTTTTTTTTTGTTATACTGCGTTAGTATTTATTTTTAGAGATAAGGTTTATATGTGTCATGTTTGCAAATGCTGCTACATCTTAGAACAGGCTTATAGCAGTTAATTTTGTAATATATGGAAGGACTGTACAAGCTGAAGGGAATAATGCACTTTTCTCCCATGTGGAAATTTTAACAAGGCTCTGAAATTGTACATACTGCTTAGAATCAGATCTTTGCGAATGAAATACTGTCTTTTAACTGTTTGGCAATGGAGGTGAGGAATTCCAACCTCATGTGCCAAAGGGTTAAAAACAAACAGATGAAAAAGCTACGTCTTGGGGTTCCATTTAGGATAAACGTAATATAAGAGCCTGACAGCACAAGAGAAAATGTCTGTTCTATATGAAGGAATTGCATTTGAACAATGAGACCACAGTGATTACAAGAAAAGCACTTTATTTTAATAATTAAAGTAGTAAATTTCTGGGATCAGCCATTCTCAAAGAAGATTTGCCCTCAACCAAAAGAGTCCTGAAGTCCAGCAAGTTACACGTAACAGTGGTACCTGATTGACTGAACTTAAAACATCGTGACAAATGCTCCACTGACAGGGAAACGTCTTTCCATTTCCGAAGATCTGTGTCTAACAGAACATGTGCATAAACTTTAGCGTTGATCTTCAGCAATGATAATCTTAATAATAAACCCTTTGGTGCTAGGAGTTGGGACGTTACGCAGTGCAGCAAACAGAGTGCACGCACCCTTGCTAACAACATCGGACAACCCCAACTCCGTGGGATTATCATTTGAAGTATCTCTGCGTTCAGCTCTTGTTAGCTCCCACAAAGACTGTGATAACGCTGAGTATTCCTGGTTGCGTTGTGTGAGTGAGTAGATGGGTCTGAGAGGAGAGATGTTCTACGCAGATGCCTTAGCCTCTTGATGTGGAAAGTTGAGTGCCCAAGCATGAAGCCCACTGCTGGCAGTGCATGTGCTGGGATGGTCAAGGGGTTGATGGGCATTTTAGCAAGGCAGCTAAAAACGCAGAGTAATTTAGACAATTTTTTCATGTTTTGTGTTTTATCTTTAGTAATGGATGGATAATCAAACAGAAATATATCATGATGTATATTGTAACTGCATACGATGTCATTATGTCACCTTGTAACACTAAAGACGTGTAGATGTTGTTGTCCCTGTGCGGAGAGAGAGGAGAGCAGCAAATGCGTTGCAGGTCTGTTCTGCACCGGTGGTGTAGAGGTGTCTACACTGACACAGTGAGCGAGTGACTGAAATAATCAAGTATTTAACAGACGGGCATTAATTAGTTCTCTGCAAAGGTCTTGTTCTTACAGACTGAAACTATGGTGATTCAATATCTGTGTTACATGCCTGTGTTTTCTCCCCTGTGTTTTCAGCTTGTAATAGCAATAAGTCTCTTGACACAGGGCACCTCTAGCTAATGACCGACCGGCCGTGCCGCTCCTTGCGGGCCGAGGACGCCCTGTGGTTTAGCTCACCATCGCGTAGCTACCTAGTGCGTGGTTTGCAGTAAGTGTCTGTCAGTGAATTATCTGAAAACCTTTTAAGACATCCCTTTGCATTGTATTTGTCTGCCTTCTGAAACATCAGTGATGAAGTTTATGCTACGGAGAGTCAGCAGACACTTTGTGCTGCCTGGGCTTGGGGGATTCTCTCTTACCAGTGTTAGAAACAGATGACAGAGGAATGGACAAGCAGTGCTGAGAGAAACTTTTGAAGCTCTTCTTTTGCTGTCTGCAGTTGTGGTTGGATTTGGACAGGAGGTGGTGGCTGGTTGTCTCGGTGAGCCTTTTGAGCACAGTACATTTCAGACTTTGACTCCAGCTTGTACTGACTTCCATGACTTACAGTATGCCCTCTTGTACTGCAGCCATCTCAGAGGAAATAGGTCATTTCTGTTTGGATTTTGGCAGTTTTGCACACAGCTTCGCTTTCCACACTAATCCATCTTCCAGTACATTCCTGTTGCTTAAAGAACATTTATTCCAGTATTGTTTTACATTTTTTTTCCCATCTTTACTTGCGGCTTCTTAAAGCTGACTGTTCTTGCAGGGGCCATGTGCTTCTCCTAGAGTACAAAAGTAAGGTCTTTCCTTACTAACTGCAGGGTCTATATATTACACCTCAATGTACACACTTTGCTGCTACTGTTTGTACTGTCTACAGTAGAATTTCCTTATCTTGCTCCTGGTAGTGCATTACAGGCAAGCATGAAATGTAAAGTATTTATTTAAATAAAAACCTCTAAATTGGTAATTGAATTACCTCCCTGTAGCTTTAGAGTTTGTGACATTTCTTGACCTTGCTAGTTCTTTCATTAGATCCATGCAAGATCTAGTCATATGGTTAAGGATATTAAGCAGACACGACTATGAACCCAAGAAACCGTATTACTGTTGGTCATACTTAAACTGTTTATTTCCTTAAGTATATGACCCACAAGGATGTGAAATAACTACAAGAAACTGTTTTTGTACACTGTACATCCTTAGTATTTTTACACGTATATGATAGGGATGCACATTATTTTCCTTCGTACAGACAGCTTAAATAAAGCACTATGTCAATCTGCTACTTCTGTGTTTTTTAATGCTAATTTGTTCTGGAGGTTTGTAAATATATATATATATATATGTTCAAGCTTGCCACAAAGGACGTATTTTTTTATATCTGCACATTACTATTAAATATCTTAGAGGATAAAATTCCTAAGTTGTTCCGTGTCAGAGAAAAAAAAAAAAAAAAGAAATGAGAAGGCTATATTGCAGATTACAAAAGATTTCTCAAGTTTTGGGTTAAATATTTACTTCATATTTTAAAGTAATTTTATATAGGTTAGATGTTTCAATCCTGAAATGCACAAAGAATTTACTTAATTTCTTCTTACAAGAAAATGTACATCGTTATTTTTTTATCACTGTATATATAATGATCTGTGCATGTTTAGTTACAAGTTTTATTTGCTGTGAAGTCCTAGTGATAACTGTAACTCGCTGTGACATAATTCAAATACTGGGTGAACAGTTTCAGCTTGTAAATTATTAAGTTACAGTATTGTCAAAGAAAAACAATTTTTATGATTAAGCAAGATGTATTTGTGCTTTGGACCGAGGCTGTTTCCATACAGGTGGTTCATGTTAACTCTACGAGGTGTATGTCCTTATAAAAGTAAATTTGGGTTACACTTTTGAAGTAATGATTCCACAGGGCTATGTTCCTATCAGAACACCCATGATTAAGTGATTTTCAGTAAATGAAATTCTTGGCCTTATATCCCACAGCTAGGTGATGTGTTTGGGTAAGGAGAGGGGGAAAAAAGTGAAGTTGGGATTTACAGGGCACCCACAGAGTGGGACTCTTTGAAGCCCTGAGCTGGTCCAGGGCCGTTGGAACCAGCCAGTCTGGAGGGCTGAGTGTCCCTAAAGCAGTGGGTCATCTGGGTTTTAGCTGTTCTTTGACATGAACGCTTCTCAGGAATAGAGGTGCTTCATCCAGGTCTCAGGTTTTTTCCTTTTTTTTTTTTTCTCCTTTTTTTTCTCCCCCACCTTGTAATGAGAAAGAGTATTGGAGAGACAGACAGCCGTAGTTGTGATATCAGGGTGTCAGTGACCATGACGCAGCTGCGGCAGGGGCAGGACTGTATGGTCAGATTGCATCCTGTGTTGTGGAATCACACTCAGTCTGCCGACCTGAGGTTTCCTGGATTTGATTGTCTGATCTGACACTTGTAAACTTTGTAAAACTAAGCATTTTGTGCTTAAGTAGAAGCAGGGGAGAGAGGGGGGTGTGGCATGAGACAGGTAGGCCTAGAGCCATCTCTGTTAATGACTAATTGAAGTAGAATAGCTGCTGCAGGGAAATGGATTCCTTCTAGACTCCCGGCAACATAATGGATTGCACCTACACCTGGGATGAGTATGAAAAACCTACTTCCAGCTGTATATACTGGCAGACCAGGACCCTTTGTTGAAATCAGACCCGTACATGCACGTGGGTGGCTGGCAGTGGTGCCCTGCATGTGGCCACCAGAGGCCACCTGGTAGGTGAGGCAGGTCCAGAAAGGTTGAGGGTCCCGCTGTGCCTTGGGCCAGGGCATGGCAGCTCCAGGGTCTCAGTGAAGCCGAAGTGTTGGGACTAGGTGCCCGAGTTCCTTTGTGCATGTAGGCACTGTCTCCTATTTAAACACAGATTTATGCTGCAGAATAATAAAAAATAAATTTTAAAAGTTTGCATTTTCCTACATTTATAAATGTATATTCTTAACTGTGTAACCATCTCTAAAGTAGTGACACTTATAAAACTGTCAGCCTGATTACTATGGGAAACACCAAGTTTGACTAGAGAGGACTTTCCTCACCAGGCTTTCTTGTCCCCAAAGACCAGAGGCCATTCTCGACACGCTTGGTGTCATATCTGTGAAGCAGTTCAGGGAGGAGATCAGATGTGTTTGGCATTTAAATACGGCAGGAAATTGAAATAAGGAGGAAAAATCACTTTGATGTTAGGGCTGTACCACTAATAATTCTTAAAGTACAAGGGAAGGAAATGTTGTGTTCCACAGTCAATGGTAACTTATTGCATGTGTCGTTACTCTTATTTTTGTTACATTTTATGTGTTCACGCCGGCTGAAGTAGCTTCATCACTGGGGAACTGTTCTTTGCCGTTTTGTCCCCTTTCCTAGTTCAATTCTGCAACTACACTGAAGGTAATAGATGTAGAAACATTTTTCTTGTGTGCATAGCTTATCCTACACTAGATAGCAAAAGATGCAGATAAATTCTTTGTGAAAGAGTGTGGTATTTGGAGAGTAACCTTGGATAACGCAAGTGCGCAGCTGACCGGAAAAAAAGCCTCCAGGTGTTTTGAGTTCAGTAATTTGAAGCCAAGTTCAGCTGGTGCCCATCCCTCAGACTGCTGAAAAGTGGAAAAGTCCAGCTTCACCACTTCAGTGTTGAGAGCCAGGCACTTGCTTAATGGCTCATCTGTACAAACCAAGGGCTCCTTTGTCTGAAAGGCTTTATCCAGCAACATTTTAAAGGGAAACCTGACCCACGGCAATTCTTCCAAATTATGTGGAATATTTCTCAATCATTCTTACGCTTTTCTGATGAATTAAGTAGTTGCTGACTCTCACTTTTTCTACAAAAGTGACAAATACCCTGTAAAATAAAGTTCCCAGGTAGATTCTGGTACTGAGTTTGTAAACAGGAAGGCAGTGTGCTTGTGCAGAACTTGCAAACAGCTCCCTTCTCCCTCCTCCCCCTGCACATGCTTTCCCTTGAATTCAGAAGGACAAAGTGAGAACCTAAGAATCCTGTTAGGTTTATTGATATTTCAGTCTGTGAATAATATAGACATGTATGTTAAATTATGAAAATAGATAAAAATATTTTATAAAAATTGTACAAATTATTAAAGTCTACACCACATAATAGCTGTTAAAACTGGCTTGCAAGCCTGGTCTTTTCAGAAAAATCTCAGCTGTTGTCCTAGAAAGTTTGATAGGCTGGTAAGGCTTCAAAATATTTGTGATTCTGTAGTTAAAAACAAATAGAAACCAGCTGAAATTAGCTAGCAAGTGTGCCTGTTTTCTGTAGAGGTGTCTTTGGGTGAGCCTCAGACAAGTTTCAGCCAGGTGCAGAGCAGACCTGAAAGATAAAAGGAAGAGATGAGTAGTCTGTGTGGCAGTGCCTGTGTTTCTCATTTGTGTCACTTCAGCCTGTAGGCAAGTTCTTAGAAGAGAAATACAGAACTGGTTAAGATTGCAGTAAGGCAGAGTAAACAAGTGGTGTTTCAAAGCCTGCACTTCCTGTGGGCCTGCTGTCCTCACCTCTTTCTAAGCTCAGAATTCTTACAGGTAGCAAGAAGAAGAGGTATCTGATTTCTGAAAAATAGGATCTCCATAAGCTTTCAACATGGCTCCTGTTTAGCAGTAAATAACTGAGCTCTTGTTCTGGGGCACGTCTCAGATCCTGCCCCTTCTTCCTTCCAGGAAAGAAGGCAGTGGGTTTGTGCCAGAGAGTGTTTTCTGTGCAGTGTACACCGTGTGTTTGGTGTGGGCAACTGTAGCAAAACAGGAAGCTGTTGCCTGGGTGCTGGTAGGAAACCTCTGGTGGGAAGGCTGATATGCAGTTTTGAAGCTCTTGCATAGCTATTGTTTGTGCTTCCTTGGTAGCACTTAAGGACTGAATTGAGTGAGACATCAAACTTCTGGAGCTGGGGGAGCTACCTCGAATTAAGCCACTGGAGTTCTAAAAATTGAATTTAAGAGATGTATATGACCTCAGAAATAAAAATAAACTTTCTACTTTGGCTGGTTTTGAATTAGAAGACTAAAGGGTTTGTTTTTTTTTTTCCCCTTGGTTGGTTAGGCTGAGTTAAAAAAAGCATTTTTGAAGCTGCAGTTCATTAAAGAATTATAACCAATAATGTGGTACTCCACCCCCATCCCCCCACCCCCAAAATAAATGCACCAACACCAGCTGGTACAGTTGTGTCTGCAGCCAGTGCAAGGAAAAAGGAACTATGGCAATGGAAAGCCTTGGGGCTTAAATTCCCTCTCAGCACCTGGTTAGTGACAACAAGAGGAAATCTCTGTGCTGCAGAGATTCCCAGCATAAGAGTACAGGCAGAAGCTTAAAAAGACCCCAAACACTGAACTCCTGAAGAAGTCTCCTGGCAAATGCTGTTGTGGGTATCTTTCCACACCACAGTTACCCAGTGTTAATGCTTTGTGAGATGCAGAACCTCAGCGTGATGGAGGAAGTGGGCAAGTCTCCTCCTGACTACAGCCTGGCCTGAGCTGCCAATCAAGCATAAACACTGGCAGAGTCTTGGAGCACTCCACTGTACAATGGCCTGGGTGCTAAAGTAGTTATTGACGGTGTGCCATTCTCTAACTGGGCACAAGTGTCACTCTCATGTCCAGGGAATTGCTAAACGAATTGGCTACTCAACAGTCAGGAGCAGAGCCCTTCCAGTCTTAGTTTCTCTTCCTCCCAAGAGGACTTTGGTATTCACTGAGCAGACTCCTCCAGGTTCCTCTGGACACTACCGTCTCACCTCAGTGGCATCTGTTTTAACTGGGTGGTTGGGTATTCTTAGGTGTACAAGTTGGAAGGGTCTGTAGGAGTGGAACCACAGACATCTGAATCATTTAAGGTATTGCTGTTAGCTACACTTCGAGGGGAGAGGGGCCACTAGCTTCCTGTGTAGATAGAAAACACTCGGGTGGCTTTAATCCTCCTTTGGCTGTAAACCCCAGGGTGGAGCTCTCAGGAGGGCCAGGCTTAGCTCCTGGCCTGTGACCTAGCAGCCAGACACCAGACCTCCCACAGCTGCAGATTTCCAAATGCTGAAGAGCTGAATACCTGAAGTGTCATGTCAGGGCACTCAGACATCACGCAGAGGTCTATCTTTATTCCCTCCTGTCATACTTTACCTTGCATCACCTCTGACTAAAACTCCATCCAAGCAAAGGTGAAGATTTTCATCTCCTTAAAAAACCCCACAACAACCACCACCATCACCACCACCACCACCAACCCCTGCCTGTGGAATGTCCCTGGCTGTTAAAAACACCCAGCAGAGGCACTGTCTTTGTGCATTAAGACTACACTAAAAACAAAAGCTCTCTTCCCCAGTAACTTAAGCAGTCTTCAGGTCTCCTGATGAACAGTTGAGGTCTGTGTAAGGATCAGCCTGAATCACTTCTGACATCGGCGATGGATGAGCTACCTGTTTGCCGGACACAAGGCTCCCTCCCCTTCTGTAATGTACAATGGAAAAAACAAGCAAACAGGGCACTTGGGAGCACTGCTGCATTCACTGCTGGGACCTCACTGAAAATTCCTGCTGACATAAAAAAGCAAAGAAAACCACTGCCCCAGAACATCTGTAATTCTGACAGTTCCTCCTGCTGAGCGACTGGGGTGAGGATGGGAACGTAGGCACGGGTGAGTGCATTTTAACTTCCTTTCAGAAGAAAAGTGGTCTGTTCACAGACATGCTCACTGTGAAAGAGACACCTGTAACGAGGGAGGAGCGAGTTTAGTGGCTCAGTCACACAGAGAGCAGAGGGAGAGTGCAGGTTCCTTGCCAGGGAGGGGCTAGCTTGTAGAAGGAGATTGTTGGGGGAAGGCAGAGCAGCAGCATAGGATGACATTCCTAGCTGGAGGTAATTCTCAAGGTCCAAATCCTACCCGTCTATGCTCTCACTGGCTCAGCTGGCCAGCAACCCCTTCTGGCAGCCAGGGTCTGTGAGGGGATTATCCACCAGGACAAACACTGATTTCTGTCAAACTGATGGACACCAAGGCAAATCCTGCAAGTCAGAGGCATCCCAGCTTTCACAAACATACTCATACCTGGTGGGCGGTGCTGAGGTTTTCAGCAATCTCAGTTTAGATGTTTGTTTGCTCTACTATGTACATTTATTTAATATTCTGTATTTAGTACCTATGTAGGAAGGGAGCTAAGTATCTCTCATCCTCCTGCCTGGGGGTTAGTTCCAATGCACAAGAGACTTTCAAAGGCAGAAATTCTGAACTGGAGTCTTCTGAAAACATTCAAAATGAGAGGTGTAAATCCCATAATTGAATTTTTAACTACCTTTACATGGTCCTGAATATGTTATGCTGTATCCCTTTATTCAGTATTAGTGCCACCTAGTAGATACTAGTGTAGTGGCCTGATATACAGCCCATCCTATAAGGTCAGGCCACATTGTCATACTAGTCCTTTTTGACTCTATGAAAATGAAAATCACAATGTGAGCATCTTTATCACATCATAGGCAGGTAGTTATTCTGAAATAACACAGGGCTTCTTTCAGTAATAGGAGATTTAATATCATTATTTTAAAAGCATGTAATTCATGCTTGAGAATGAGAAATATGTTTTTGAAAGCTGGTTACTCCTTCAGCAAGGATTCTAAAAGCCTTTTATCTCATGTGGCCTGTAAGGGAATGCAGTAATGTAGCAGGATCAGGTACTTCTTTTCTGATGACTTTTTTCAATCAGTTGAAAACCTGGAATTTTCCTCACAGTGTCAATGAGTTTTCCATGAAAAACAGACTCTCAACACACCAAAATGTAGCCAGATTTAAAGACATTCTTTTCTTTCTTTCCGTTTATCTTTCCTCCCATACAGCAAATACGAACACTAGAAATAAAAATTACAGTGGAAGTAACCCATCTTTTGAAAACAAATCCTATCAAGGCTGAGGGCTTGTCAGTGTTCATCGATTTTTTTTTCCTTTCCTCTAGGTTAGTTAGATTCAAATAAATGATCCAATTTTAAATTCTGGCGCTTTTAAGTTAAAGTGAAGTAACTCTTATAAGGCAGTAAGGAACTATGTTGCAGTACTATAACTTCGACAGCACTGCTCCAAATACAATTATTTAGATAATGTTTCTTTCTATGTGACACTAACTGTTATGATTTATTACAATACAAATTGTAGCTTTTCCGAAGAGAGATGATTCAAGCTTTCTCAGAATGAAAATACTGGAAGCGACAAAACTAACCAATTCCAAATCAACAGACAAATACCCAGTGACTATCCAGACCAAAAAGTACCAACAGTAAAATCTGAGCTTCTAGAAGTTCCCACCTTTCTAAGATTTCTATGTCTCCCTTTCCCTTCAATCTTTAATCCCTCAAATCTTTTAAGATTTTTTTTTTAAATTCTGTTAGATAAACCTGTCTTTGCTGTGGAGTACTTGTCCTTAAATTTTTAAGTGCTAAAAAAAAAAAACCGAACAAACCACCAAAGCACAAAAAGCTCCAACAATTTCAAACCCAAAAATGTTTCAAACACTTCCTTTTTCCTTTTGTCTTGAAGTGTCTGCCAGATTCAACTCACATCTGCAAATAGTTTTAGTCCTCCTTTCCTCTCCCCCCCCCTCCCATATATAGGATATAGAAAAAAATACCTACTTCTGCTCATTTCTTTTCATCCATCCAGGTTTTTACTTGATTCCATCTGTGTCCTGTTTGAGATCTGTATCCCATTTTTTTTCCTGAAATATACAACTTAAGTTACTAGTGGCTTATGTTCCAAGATACAACAGTACAGTTAGGTTAATGTATTTTATGTCATCTTTAAAAGATTAGTTAATGATTGGTTTCTTTTACCTCCCAAAAAAATTTAATTGTAAAGGAGAACTGTTGGACAATACAGTAAAATACGGAATATGAGGTCACTTTCACCTTTGATCAACACTGAATCTGCAACTGTTTGATTTTAATATTTATTTCTATACTCATAGATGCATCTTTCCATAGTTAAGAGCTTCCATTTATGGTGAACTATTGTTTAGTTTTCTTAAAACAATTGTCTGATATTCCAGGCAGCTCTCTTGGGCTGAGTTCCAGTTCCCAGAGAAACACCATTGCTTTAAATAGCTGCAAATAGATTTTTAGAGCTCTTTTTTAATAATTTTTTTATCATTCTTGTGAGTGTTCTCAAAAAGTATCCTCTGGAGCACAATTAACTTGTAATGAACAGAAAGAAGGCAGCTTTTGCCAGTCAAGTCTTGATAGCAGCATAATATCTGAATGATTTTTTCCTCTTTTGTATGATTTTTGTACTTGTGCCCAACTTTATAAAAGTACACTCCCAGAAAAAATAGATTATCAATAACAAAATCCCGGCGGACCATGTAAAGGCTGTTCACATCACTAGGAGTGCTTTCCATAAAACAGAAATCGTAATTTCTTTTCTGAACTACCTTCTTAACCTGTCCTATAGACAGAACATTATGGTTGCCCTAAAATTTGCCAGTAGTTGCTACGTGCTGATAACCTTACACTATCATGAGTCACCGAGTTTGTCTACTACAACAGGAAGTCCTGTAAAACCAAACACATGAACATGGTTAGAGGCTTAACAAAGTATGGATTTTATTCTCCTAGGTTAAACCTTTACTGAATTCCACAGGTAAAAAGCCTACAAAAATAGTATGATTTAATTATTTTAAATTTCCAAGATGATTCGTGTTCTGTTTGCTGCTAGGTGTGCCACTTAGACTAAATTTCCTACATTGAATGTCCTTTGTTAGCACAGTAACAGAACTCCAGTTATCCTGGGCAAACTCACTAGTTTGTAAGTTAGAAAGTATCGTGATATTGTTGAATTAGTGCATTTACTCAGTCACAAAGCAGGAGTTCCATTATCTGATAGTTTACTGAAAACCTCATCCTGTGCTTTTTAGTTCTCCTTTTTCTGAAAAAAAAGTAAAGAAAACCAAAGACAAAACCCAACCCTGCAGCCCTCTCCCTTATTCCCAAAGCACTGACTGACTGAAGAACAGTGGCCAAAACAAAGAAAGCAAGAACAGCCCCTAAGTAGTCACAGCTTCCTAGGGACCACTGGAAATAAGAATCAATCCTGCCAGAGAAGCAGTGCAGTGATTAGTGCTAAGGCAAGACTGACTGTACATTCACCATCTTACATTTAGGTGAGTGAATCATAAAATATCCCAAGTTGGAAGGGACCCACTAGGATCATCAAAGTCCAAATCCTGGGCCTGCATATGACAGTCCCCAAAATCTCACCTAGGAGTGGTCATGGAGCAGCAGGAAAAACAAATGACTTTTAAAAATAAGGAGAAAAAAAATAATTACAAAGTGATAGGGGGACTTAAGTCTGACAAATGGCAGCAAAAGTCAAAGAAATTATCAACATCAAGTTACTGTTTAAACATTAATGCTGGTAAAGAACAAATTTCCCTTTTCTCTGAAAAAGGAACATAAAATCTTCAGATAAAAAGTCTACGAACTGTCACTGAGAATAACTTCTGCATTTTTATTGTCACTTCAAAACATTTTCTTCATTTAGTTTAGGTTTAAGTGAGACTCAGGTTCAGCTACCAGTCTCCTTCCAACTGCATGAGGTTTTACTTTATTTTTTTTTATAAGGTAATGCCGTATTTAAAAGAATGACAGCAACATAATCCAGCAGCTGAAATGAGACTGCTGGCAGATCTCTCTGCTAAAGCTGCAGAATATTCCCCTCAGACTTTCTTTTCTTCTGGCACAGTACCTGTGTTCGCAGAAACTGCACCTCTTCCGTGAGCAGCTGCTTCTCTTTGAAGAGCTGATTCTGTTTGTTGAGCAACTCCACTAACTGCTGGGCAGTGGCCTGACAGTGCTTGTCAAGCTGCTGTAACCTGGAAAAAAATAGATAAAAGCACTGCAGAGCATCTGAAGTTGGAGTTCACAGTAGAAGCTTTGATGTTTGCACTGGTGGGTGCAGCTCCGGAGGCCAGAGTCCAGGCTGGTGGTTGAGCTGAGACTGAAGTATTACTCCTAGGATGGGCATTCCATGTATTTTCACACTTTAAACAAGCACTTTTAAAGGTTTGTTCTTTTAATTTAGAAGCCTTATGAGGACATGACAGCAAATTTGCTTTGCTGTGACATCAGTAAAGACTGCAGGACTGCATCTTGACACCCGTAGCTAAGCAAGCTGCACACTCAATAACTGTCTTCCTGTAATAACACACAGTAGGCCAGATCATAAATCCAAATACCCAAACTCCCTGACAAAATGGACCTGAAGTGACAAAAACTCCTGTTTTCTGTCTACTGCTCTTTGCTGGTTAATGTCCAAAACTCATTACAGAATACGTTTATTTCAAGTAAACATAGTGTTAATTAAGCACATCAGCATAGATCCTTTAATAATGTAACAGGGGTTCCTGGGGAAAGATGTAAAGAGCCTATTACTCCAGAGGTCCTCCTCATCAGGGGCTGCAAAACAGAGGAACAAGCTGGCAATCAGAAAAAAACACGCAGAGGCCTTCTGCTTACACTGGAAAAGTAAGTGCCTAAGATGGGACAATGATGCTGTAAGACAGGGCAAGCGCCCATTTACTTCTTTCATCACAAAAGCAGGTATCACTTATTATGTCTCCAGTGACTGTTTATTACTCCTGGCACCCAGACAGAAGTAATTTCCAACTCATGTGTAAATTTTACATCAAAACAACATTTTTAATGAGATAATCACAGGTAGCTTGTGCAAATGTCACAAGTATTACTGGACACAAGCCTTAGCGTGCTCTGTTGTGAAGCTCTACGTCCTTTCAAATCATGCAAGGGGTGATTCAGATAAACTACTGTAAACAGGAAGTTTTTAATTAGGGCAATACTACTCAATTACACTTTTCTGTTTGTAACTTCACCACCTACTATGTTACATTTAAACTGTCCCCTTGAGCAGAGGGAGAAAGATGACACAGGCACTGAGCTGGGTTTGACTAGCAGGCCACAACTTTATCATCTGTATCTCCAGTGCTTGAATATAGGTTTAATAACATTCCAATCTACAATTCTGGGCCTTGATGGATGAAAAGGGAGCAGTTCTAGTCAGTGCAGATCTGGATTTGTGAATTCCCAAATTCTGTCTGCCAGTCTGCTCTCCCAAAATTGCTGCCAAGCTGGCCCTTGGTCCACACACTGGGACTCCCAGCCTGCTCTGGTGCATTTAGCTCCTGAGGACAGGCTCTGGGCTCTCTCACAGTATCTGGTATTACGTGTGACATGTGCAGCACAGCCACACATTCCCATATGCATTGTATCTGGCCTGCCTGCTGATCTCGTAAATGATTCAAGATGAGAAATGAACAGCTCCACCCACATTCACTGTACTTCCCATATGTTACAAATGCACATCGATGCCTGCCATCATTTTTACAACTGGGTGACAGAACCTTCTGCACATTTTGCTAATACAAGTGAGGGAGGTTGCATGGTCGCCACGCTCACTTTGGCAACACCACCTACCAGGCAACCATGCACTGTGTCCTGAGCATGAGAAACCACCGTTTCCTTGTCCCCTGCTCTAAAAGAGATCATTTTTCCACCAAACTGGCAAGATCTGTCCAGTTGGGATGGCATGCGGCTGCTCCCCCTTGGCCTGGGAGTGTTGAAGGACAGGGACTGACTCCACGCTCTATCATGTTACTTCAAGAAACAAGGTGAAGACATGTAGCTCTTGAACCGTGTTGTGTTTGCACTCCTACAAGACAACCTGGCACTAAGGAGTAAGCTCCCATTTAGCAGAAATAGTAATTCAAATAATAATTCAAATAATTTCCCACTAGCCACTTTAAACCAAAGTTCTTACTTTTATACGGAGGCAAGAAAGAGACAGTTTCATGAGACAAGTGGTTCCACAGAAGGAGAACACAACTGGGGCATCACAAGCTGCAATGAATGCTTCAAGGTAAATGTTTTAATCTGATTCTCAGTATTCTCAGAGCTTGTATGCAGCTTTACATTAGTCTGGCTACAAGCTACCTTGCTGCTTTGTGCAGCTACAACCTGCAGAAGACATCTCTCACTTCACACAGCAGTAAAATTTGGATCTGAGACAAGACTATACCCCAGCCTATCAAGAAATGAAGTGAAAAGGGACAGATAGGGTTTTTTTAAATTTGGACAGCTATGGCTAGACAATCACTGCAAGACCCTGCAAAAACCAGGTGAAACATCGAACACAAAGCAGAGCTTTGGCACCAAGGTGAATTCTACCAGCAGAATAAATTTCCATTGCAACGAACAACACAAAGCTGTACTAGCACCCACAAGGTTACACTTCAGCCATCCCCTTATCTGTGGCCTACAGATAAAACAAAAGCTTCCTTCTTTTCTTTAATGACACACTGCTAAACCAGGGGCACCCACAAGACTCTGGCTGCAAGCTCCCTGCCCTGGGGGACTAAGGTCCATTAATCCACAGGCAATCTGCAATGAAGGAAAAAGCTGATGCAACCTGTCAGCCTTCCTCTGGGTTTTAATGTCGACTTGAAAGAAATTAATATGCAAGGATCTGTGGGCAGTGGCCATTCACCCTGCAGAGGGGATCAGTCAGTCCTTGTCACAGTAAAGGCATTAAAAGGTTATTTACTCTTTCAGCATAGTCAGGTTACTGATGTAAAACGTTTTCACTTTACTCCACGGAGCTGGATTTGCTGAAATGGCGTGATTGGATTGCAGCAACCTGCAGCAGCTAAATCACCAAATCCAATAATCATGCTGCATTTACTGGCACACATCTTAATTAGGTTTTAATACAAGTAATCTGATAACTACTCCTGGCCAGCCAGAGTGGAGCTGTCAGAGCTGAAAGGGCTGTTGTTGAGCAGCTCGGCCGGCGCACTGCTGTGGCTGCCTCCCTGCTGACCCTGCCGAAGCCCCTCATCTGCCAGTTGCCACGGTAACACAGGCCAGCCCATCACCTGAACAGTGGGTGCCGGGGCTGTCAGGCACCCCACGGCAAAGTCTGGGGCACTGGCCACCCACGGAGGCCACATCTCTGTGGGTGAGGGGGTGCCAGGGCGTGGCTCCTGCTGCCCCCCAGAATTACCAAAACTCAACACCGTGACAATATGTTACTGTGCAGCAAACTGTCTTTAAAAAGCATTTCCCTTGTCAGGTCAGGAGTGTCAAGCTATGAGTTTCTAAGGTTACTACTGCATTGCTTGTTTTCCTGTAGGTTGCATACAGTGATCAGAGGTGGCTTCTGGTCCTGAGTGGGAAAACCAAGGGTCACGTTGCAGACGTCTGCCATGCTGCAGGGATGCAACTGATGGGGGCTGTGCCCCAACATGAAGGCAGTGCCACATTTTCAATCGGGCATTTGCGAATCTCAAATATTTTTAACACACTGTGAGTTCGAAAAGCAAATGCAGGTTTAAGAACAAGTTTGTTACAAAAGGAGAGAGCAAGCCAATTAGGAAAGAAAGCAAACTCCAGCAAACTTTCCATCAGCAAACCTGTACCCACTTTTATAATTTTTTTTGCAGAACATTCTATGAATTTATTATCATGTGATAGGAGGTTTTGGTACTTAACAGATAGTTGTACTACAACCCATTAAAGGATGTTAAATTTGTATACTCAAGTAGTCATGAGTTAGAAAATGCCAGAAACAAAGGCTTTCTATGCAACTCCTTCCCACCCTGGCTCCCAGCTCCACTGCTGTTCCCCTGCCCAGCCTTGCTCATCTCCTCCTGAGACAATTATCCACCACAATCCTGCTAAACAGTTTCAGTCTAAACCACAATTTTTGGCAAGCCTAATGAAATCACAAAGAACTTCAGCACTGCCTTATAATAAGCAGCATCACACACCCTTAAATACAAACTCTGGTGATCACACTTAGTTCCTGACACAGATAGAGCAGGCACTGCCTAATGTCATATCCTGCTACATACAGAACAATGATCAGGCTTTGCTTTGGCTATGATGATCTTGGAAATCCAGACTTGCTGCCATGCAGAGAGTTAAATGTGTATGGCTGGTGCTTGTGGTGAGCTTGTTTCTGCCCCAGCTGTTGTCACTCCCCACTCCCCTTGCAGCGTCAGCAGCATGGTTCCCCTCTGCTTTCCACCTCAATTCTGCTACTCTTCTGTCTTCCCTTTTCATAGCAGAAGTGATGTTGTCATTTTCTTCAAGGCAGAAAAATTTCTGTTCACCGCCTCTTTGTATCTTGAATCAGCTCTGTGGACAATTAGGTCACGGAAACCAATAGTAAAATTAGTTCTCATATGAGCAACCTGCATCCTCAGTGTGGCTTACAGCATCAAGAAATCCACACAGTAAATTCTGAGGCAAGAAAAATAAAGTCTATAAATTTAGAAATGCTGACAAATAGCAAATTGAACCCCAAAGTTTCACTAGTGTCCTGAATTACCATTTACGTTAGATCTTGACCCATATATCAAGGCCTTGAGACGACCTTGAAGTGATAAGCATCTCAGAGAAGTCCCCATATGCTCCCAGAATTTTAACAGTAACATCTACCAATCTATCCTTTAACTCAGCTCTGTTCTCCCATCTACTTTCAAAAGCAAAACACTATGATCCACCTTTCTGATGTTAATGAACTAAAAAAACCATAAGAGGAAAACACACAGACTAAAAAGCCACTCCATAAGCGAGTAGGAACTAAGGATAGTGAATAAGCCTCCTTGTTTCTGTCACACTGTCAGTCCTGAGTTCTAATAGGACACAGGTAGATAGATCAGGGCATATTAAAAGTTTCTGTGGAATTTCCCACCCTCTGGAATTCCTATCAGAATTCTGTTGCCACACAAATGGCCAAGACACTCATTTGTTCAGGCAGAGAAGATCTATACCACTTCTATCTTAGTAAGGTAAG